ACTTTAGCAATTTAGTAAGGCCCTGTCTAAAATAAAAATTAAAAACTTGCTCCATGAGAGACTCTGAGTTCAGTTCGCAGTAATGAAAGAGCAGTAACAGCAAAATGCAGGCCCCTCAGGCACAAGCCCTCCACATCCTCCTCTTCCTCACAATCCCTGAAAATAGCCATCTTGATTTTGTCTATGGAGTTACCTATTTCAGATATTTTGCATAAATGGGTTCATGTCTCTTGTACCTGACTTTCATTCAGCACGTTTTTGGATCCATCCCTGTTGTAGCACTCATTTGTACTGTACTCTTTTTATGGCTAATATTGTAGAATATACCCTAAATTTTTATCCATTATGAGTCGAGCAGGGCACTTATCCCATTGTTTATCCTTTGCTTACTGTGACTAGGGCTGCAGGTAAAAACCTACATTACTTGCTTGGGCAGGAGTGGAAGGGTCAGATCCTGTGGTAACTTTGATTTCTTAATGAATTTTTACCTAATTCTTTACTAATTCTTACTTGAGAATAATTCTTACCTAATTCTTTTTCACATTTTTGAATCATTTTACATTCTCACCAGCACTGTGCATATTCATGGCTATCACTTTTTTTTTTTTTTTTTTGCATAACTGGGGATTGAACTCAGGCCCTTGCATTTGCCAGGGAATCGTTTATTCCACTGAGCCACCTCCCCGGCCCCACATTTTTTTTTTTTTTTAATAAAAGTACATAGTTGGTAGCTTGTCCTTGATTCCCAGTTCTGATTTCTGTCTGCCTCTCACAAATCTCTTGATCTGCCTCTTGGTATTTCTCCTCTGCCACCCTGCTGGAATTAAATCAGACAGCCAGATAACCACTTCGCAGATTATTCAATTTTGTAGTTCTGTTCTTTGTTGTACTGGGGATTAAACCCAGGTTCTTTACACTGAGCCATGTCCACAGCCCTTTTTAAATCTTGAGACACAGCCTCAACTCATCGCTAGGTAGTCTGGGCTGGGTTTCAATCTGGAATTTTCCTGCCTCGGGTCCCACAGTGCTGGGATTATAGACTTGCATCATCATACATGGTTTTATTTTTTATTTTTTTTTAATATTATAATTTTATTTTTTT